ATTGAATATTTTAATTGCAGTCAATGTTTAAAGCAGTGTGTGCACAGAATCCTGTTACTGATTTGATTACTTTCTTTGGATCATCTGATATTCCTGACTGGTATGTTGTATACTTGTATTGCTGTGTTTATTGCAGACTTATTTCATGCTAGATGTTTTACTTTAGATTTAATTTAAGAGTGTATCCAGGGCCGTATTCACAATTTTTGGCCCTATAATTTTACATCCCCCCCCAAACTAAAAATAGATCCACTTTTTTGATTTTTCTTAACACATTTTTAGTTATAATTCTTTGTGGTTAAGTCATGGTTGTCTATCTACAACCGTGGTTATGTTAAAATAATATTGATTATATTCTATGCTAGGCACTAGCACTTATCCGTTATCGTTGCACTGTTAAGTTCACAAGGGTCGAGTCATAGTACAAATTTTTTCCAAAAAAAAAAGTATCTATTGATACAATACTAGGTACATAGAGCTCCCGCGGGGGACCCAGCCGCCCCCTAAATAGATAAATATTTGGCCGCCGGGGACAAATGTCCCCATTGCTCCCTCCTAAATACGGCCCTGAGTGTATAATAAAGTATAGGTAGCGACTCTAAACTTAACAAAGATTTATATTCCTTTTTACTCGTTTGCAGGGCCATTACAGAAGCGGGTTATAATTTCTCTGATGTAGATAGTTTGGCAAATTCTAAAGATGTCTTAATGAAATTAGCAGATTGTTCACCGTGTAAAAACGTTCATAAAGTTCAAGCGCCTACACTTTTATTACTCGGTGAAAAAGATGTACGTCTTCTCCCATGCGTGGGCTTGGCATATTACCATCTTCTTAAGAAGCATGGTGTCACAGCTAGGTAAATTTACTTTACTAATTGGTAGTTATTACTGTAGTTAAACTTGTTGTAATTTTTTATTGCAGAGTGTTGATGTATGATGATTGTCATCCATTAAGTACTGTTGCTGCTGATATGGATAGTTTTATAAATGCAGCGCTGTGGTTTATCAAGCATTTATGTAATGATTTTGAAAAATAAATAATTGCTTATCAACTGCGAAATGTTGGATATTATTGTATTTCATAAGTTCATAGGTACTTAATTTAAGTAAACACCAAAGATAATAAAGAATGAATAGGCCACAGACTATATTTTCATATATCCTGTAGATTGTGGTAGTGCGTTCATTAGTTTTTAGCAAAACCACGAACTAAAATATTGTGGACCTGGAAACGATATTTGTATTGGTAATATTTATATTTATTACATATATAGGTTAGGTTATACGATAAACAAATGAATGAATGGAGAAAACTTCATAACGTGGAACTCCAAGGACTTTTCCAGAGGCCGAATATAGTTAGAGAGATCGCCAAGCGGAAACTAAGTTGGGCAGGACATGCTTGTCGCAAACAGGGTACTTTAGTAAAATGGGTGATCGAAGAAGAGCCTTATGGAAAAAGACCACTAGGTAGACCTAAGTTAAGATTGGAAGATGGTGTGAAGGGAGAAGTGGAAAAGATAGAGTATGGTGTCAAATGGAGAGAAGTAGCGGAGGACAGGGATAGGTGGCAAAGTTTAATGTTTACAGGATGGTCTCAAGGGCCGTAACTAAAGAAGAAGAAGAATAGATTAGGTTGATTAATATAAATTATATATTTATATCTAATATCTATGTATATTTAATTTGGTATTGGGAGGTTATAGTGCTGTCTAGATAACTTTTCTTACCCTGGCGCCTAATGCCATAGTCATGTACATACATTTGATCTTTTATCTGTGGTAAAAATATCTGCATAAACGTAAATAGATTTAGCAAATCCCTTCGAGGGGCTTCCTCGTGCATCTTTTTAAGAGGCAATATTTAGGCAATAAGCAATTTCGTTACCACCGCCCATGGCATTAGTGTTAGTAGTCAATGATAATTAGTGTGAGTGTGATTGTATACGGATACAGAGCTATCTATACCTATCTACACAGTACACACGCACTGGACGCACACACATGTCAACCGCACCGCCGACCAAAAATAAAAAGCGTGATTTTTTGCACAAAACACGCTTTACAGGAAAAATTAGGACGTATTGTAGATTTGTAGAGTGGTCAGATTTGATAATTTTTTTTTGTTAGTTAGAGGATAATTTTCTACAGGACGTATTGAACATTGATTTTCAAATTTGTAGCTTAAATCGAACATAATAAAAATAACAAAAGCTTGAGGAAATGTAGTGTATACACAATACATTGTTTAGAAATATGATTTCGAAAATCCAAGACTAATGCGCCCTGTGAGAAGTGTTTCTAGATAAAAATTCTTTGATAAACTTATTACTTACGAGTATATTAAAAATTTTCATACCTGACTGTTTATTTATCTTTCATAAACGGGTTCAAATTTGGAATAAATAAATTTATATATATATATATATATGTGGATCAAGGTTCCATTTTTTCTACTCTATCATACCAGTAACAGTCCTATACTTAGGATTAATATGTGGATTTGTAAGTTCTATTGATATTATTCCATGCTCATGTATGCCTAATAAGAATATAAATTGACTTTAAGGTATCATTTTTTATAGGTAGAATCCTTAAGTAAAAATTAGTTACTTAAATTACCTACTTATAGGAAATACAGTTCTAAAATTGTTATTGTAATAACTGTAAAAAGTAATACTTAACCGAGACCACTGTTAAAATATTCTTTAGGATGGTCATCAATAAATTAGATATCTATTTTACAATATTACTCAAAACAACTGTAAGTATACTTAAATAATACCTTTATAAGATATAATACTTAAAATCTATATCAATTGCAAATTATTTTAAGGTAGAAATTCATAACAATTTTTCTTTTCATACCTAAGATTTGAAAATTTAATACAAAATTCCTTATAAGTGTAGATACCTTTATTAAAAAAAAATTCTACGAGAAAAATTTTATAAATTAAATTTTTATGACGGTTTGAAGTTGAAATTTTTACAACATTAGATGTTCACTAAATTTCTCATACAGCGGTTTTCTTATTATGATGTAATTCAAAAACGAATAACTGTAGATACTTGAAATTTATACCATATGTTTATATTATCAATTCATGCAATTTTCAAAATATTTTGACTCGTTTTGAGCTGTTTACGGACATTTTCAATTTTCAGTTTTTTTTTCTCAAATGTCAATAAAATTTTATTTGTTGAGTCAATAAGCGTGAAAAGTTTATACTAGGCTCCTGATATATTGTTACAATAGCAGTTGAAAAATATTTTAAATACATGGGCACAAATTTTTTTTATATGTATTTAAAGTTCAAATTTTGACAAAATTCATACCATTCAACATTTTAAAATAATTTTATAGTAACACTTTAAGATTTTTTCAACTTTTATAGCTAAAGGTTGAAAATTTAAAAACAAAGTTATTCTGTAACTAAAAAATCTAAAAATATAATGGCACAGTTTTTTTGTGTTCAAATTTGGATGAAATTATATATTATTATATTTTACACCGACAATGACTTTTCAAATGTATTTTTTTTTAATGCATTTAATCTACTGCATAGTTCTATAATTGTTTACCAGTGAAATAAATTATTTTAATCACAACAATATCATGAAATATACTAAATTACTAAGTAATATTACAGACTAGCAGACCGTCTTCGCTCAGAATATTTTTTCGTATTCAATGATTTTATATCATCGAGTTCAAATTTAACACCATGTCACCATCTATTACAGTGACCCACTTGTTACTTACTGTACAACAGAACGACATACACCTAATGCTTTTGATATATTTAATTCTTTTTTTAACATACAATATTAAGCCGACGACAAATAGTTTCAAAGTAAATGTACAATAATCGCACTTAGTGAGATTTTCTTGAGCTAATTGAGAATTGAGATGATTTAATATTTATTATTTTGTACACACAATCATAATTAAAATTAAATCAATCCTTCCTAAAAATCTGAGTAAGATAATTTTTAGTTCTGATTTTTCCAAAAATGTCTACGTACTATGCTGTTCCAATAATAATATTTTTTATATTCATACATCATAGACCTGTCATACAGAGGCGGATTTATCTTTTTTACGGCTATAGGCACCAAAAATTTGCCGCTCCTATAATAGGTGAAAAAGTTACAATACCCCTCCAAAATACCTACTCTAAATATTTAATATATAGACAATAGTAGTGGACATCCATTTTAATTTTTAGACTATTTTTTTCGCCTGAAGTTATTTACGACACGCGACTCAATGTTTCAAACACAGATTGCGAAATAATATAATAATTTAATAACCAAATTTTTGATTATTATTATCATTATTCGTTACAGTTCTGAGTTCATATGATTGTCATATGTCGAATTAGTAATATAGTGTGGCAGTGTGAGTATTTATTTTTATCGAAATTACGACGACGCGCGACGTCGATCCCCGATAAGAATAATAAAACCATTGTTGCTTTATATATTTTTATGACCCATGCGGGCTCTGGGTGGACTATACCAACGTGTTAAAATATATAGTATTATCAAAAACTGTTTTCTATATAATTGTTTACTATAATATTTATAGGTAATGACTATAAATTATAATGAACCAAAATAGATTGGTATACTGAATATCATATACGATGTACTATATGTTTGATGTTTTTTAATAAAACACTACAAAATTTGCCGCCCCCCAAATTTTGCCGCCCTAGGCAGCTGCCTACAATGCCTAATGGGAAATCCGCCTCTGCCTGTCAAGATTGTTTTTATAGGTAATACATTTAGACAAACAATTATATCTATAAAGAGTATTTGCTTGGACGTTTCAATTAAATGAAAACAGAAATATTTTTACCTGCAAATGTTTATAATGTTAATGTTTTAATTTAATAATGAAAAAATAATTTTCAAGAAAATTTTGAATGGAATCTAGATGTCTGTGGTATCAGGATAATGATAACGCACGTGCGATTATCTTTGCACCGAGTGGAAGAAACTGGTGTAGTGCAGTGAGATGAAACATGAAAAGGATGGATTACTTCGTACTTGGTGCGCACTTATAGGTACTCCGGTTGGAACCTACTAACATACACCGGTGCAGTGAGATGGAAAACGTTATTAGAGATTAACACTTTACACCTTATCAATTCACCTAGATTTTTGCCTTACAGAAATACATACAGAATAGATTAAAAAATCGAAAACACAAGCGAAGTCGTGGGACCCTGGTACATTCATCTAGTGAGTGGTGGTCATAATGTATTAATAATAATATTATACTTTAAATTGGCCTCACGTCTAACGTCTTATATATACGATAGTAAATTAATAATTATAAATATTGACCTATGACGACGTCCACGGTCGCCACTCGCTGGTCAATGTCGAACAAAAATATTAGCGTTTACATGTTTCTCCGCCTTCCCACACACTCCCCGTCACCCGGAACCCCGCCATCAAACACTCGAAGACTGGCACGAAGTTGGACGTCAATAATACCATTATACCTAAACATGTATTGTATTATATTGTAATCAGTATCGAAAAGTACGTGTTTTGTTTTTTTTCGAGTGATCTCCGCATTTCCACAAGTCTGTTTTAAGACTTCAAACGCTTCATTGACGATGAAACTCTTTTTAACCGGTGCGTCGGGCCTGTTGGGCAGGTCTATATACGAACGTTTTCTGAATGAACCGGATTGGACTGTGTGCGGGATCTCGTTCAAAAGGCAAGTATAATATACGTGTGACATGACAGTCGAATGAGTGATTAGAATTTGACATATTTCCAGGACGAGTCCGGGGTTGACAAAATTGAACCTGCTCGATAAAGACGCAGTTACTAATCTCCTTAATACGGTTTGTCCTGATGTTATTGTTCACTGTGCTGCTGAACGGTTTCCAGATAAAGTAGAAAGTGATCCTCAGGCTGCTTATGATCTGAATGTTGGAGTATCAGCTCATTTAGCTGATGTAGCAAGTAAATGTTCTACTTTACATCTAGTTATAACTGATATATAAATTATAAACAACCATCAATTAAACAACCTCTAAAAGATATGTAAATAAAATTATGCAAATCATTAACTCCCCAACATTAATATTAAAGGCACCATTATACAATATGACAAATTGCATTCACCTGTAAACAATAATTGTATAAAAATTAAATTTCATTTGTGATAAATAATTTATTTTTTCTCTTAGATCAACTCAATGTGCCATTGTTGTATATCAGTACAGATTATGTGTTTAATGGAGATGAAAGTCCTTACAAAGAAACTGACGAACCTTCGCCCATAAATGAATATGGAAGGTTGAAGTTGCTTGGTGAAAAAGCAGTTCTGGCTGCTAATCGAAGTATGACTTATTCATAGTGTTGGGCATGGGATAATTAAATAGTTATCTAAAAAAGTTAATATAGGTATACATTTCAATATAATTATCTAAATGGACTAAATGGATAAATAAATTTAAACAAAATTATTTAGATAATACTTAATACTTTATAAAATAAGTATAGGTAGCTTATTATACACAATTTATAATGATGTATTACAATTTAAATGGTGTATTCATTTATATTTTGCTACATTATTCATACAATATTATTGAAGTGTATTATAAAGTAATTATATATTGTAATTATAATACACTTACATTATGATATGTACATTGGATAATTATTAAATTTAAAAGAATACACATTGAAGTAATAATACTTTATTATATAAATATAATACAATACTTTATAAGTAAATATCTCGGTAAATATTCAATAATATTTTATTATTACTTTGTCAAACTGGAGCATAATAATTTTTCAAATGGATTGCCGTGTAAAACATTTCTACAAGGCGTAAGAATTTGACTGGCTGCACCAAACAATCTCTGAACTGGGGCTGAGGAAGGTAGATTAATATTGTGTCTTAGAAAAAAATTTGTTTCAACATGTGGTATTGATTTAATAATTTAGAGTTTTTGAGTCTTTTAGAATAGCTTGTAGCGCTTAAACATTAATTGTTATGTCGATATCAATATCTGATAATCGAGATGATGCATGATGCTTTTAAAAAAGTTATAACTTTCTTCAGTATTATTATTGAAGCCACAAAGTTACATTCTGTCAGAAATAAATAATAATGATTATATTTGTATGAATATAGAGAATATAGTAAAGCATTATCTTTATGACTTTATCTATATACAATAATATGTAGATCACTATAGTTATACATATCATATAACTATTATAATAATAATAATTATTATTATAACTAATATTTCATGACGAAGTATCTCTCTTCAAAGAAGTCTTTTCATTATTTTAATTTCATGTTATTATTTTTATTATTTTAATAATCAAGCTTGTTCAGCTCTGTAACAGATGGTCTTATAAGAATTTTTTTAATCAAAATAGATATGATAAATTAATTTTTTTTAAATTATCTAGATGAGATAAAATATAAGAAAAAAGTATCTAGATAATGCCAAACACTGCTTATGTAGGGTATTAATATTTTTATTTGGAAATCAAACTAGTTATTAAAAAAAATTATTTACAGATAATATCATTCTCCGTATTCCAGTACTATATGGACCTGTTGAAAGTTTAGAAGAAAGTGCAATTACTTATTTGTTCATGGGATTGAAAAAGTGTCAAAACAATAATGAAGTATTTAAGGTCTCTAACTATGAACTTCGAAATCCATCAAGTGTTCATGATATAGCACACATTGTGTTTAATTTACTGGCAAAAAAAATTGCATCTGTAAGTTAAATTCTCTTTATCAGAATATGTTTACTTATTGTAAAATTATGATTTTTCAGAGTAATGACATCAGTGGTATTTATCAATGGTGTGGAAAAGAGATGTATACAAAGTATGATATGGTGGGTAAAATGGCTAAGATTTTTAACATTAGTATGAAGCAAGTAGTACCAGTAAATGGACAAGGTGGAGTGAAACGTCCATTTAATACTTTATTAGATGTTTCACGCATTAATCAATTAGGAATTGGAACACATACTAATTTTGAAGATGGAATAAAAACTGCATTAGCCAGTTGGATTGTTAAGTAGTTGTTTTTAAGTGAAAAAATGTTCATATATTTTGTTCATGTTATAATAAAATGCATTTAATTTGTATACAAATATATAAACTACTTAATTTATCATTACCAATTTTATTTTTTTTTCATTGTTAGTTATAAATAAAGAATATATTTTTAAAGTTATCATTGACAATTCACAACATAAGTTGTTAAATATAATATTATGTAGTATAAAGGAGAAAAGTATTCAGCAACGCTACATACTACTTTTAGAGTCATTAGTACTCATTAGTCATTACTATGTACATTTGATTATGTTATACTAGTTTTTAATTTTTACTATAAATCCCATAGTAGAATAATAGTTGTCGATTGATGTGGTAAAAAACTTGCCATCTAAAATGCAAATATCAGCTCTTGGTAACATAAACATGTAGGACATTAATAATAAATACAATTATTTTTACTCTACTTTTTCTAACTAATTCTACCTATTTTAGAAGAATCAAATTTTGCTCCCGATAAAATTTTTCTTATTTTTTTTTGTTTAGTCAAGAATTTATTATTTTGAACCAATTGTAACTTGTTAAATTTGAAGTCAATGATATAAAATCATTGTATATGAAAAAAACAATCCTGAATCTAGAATGTCAGCCAATATAATACTAAATACAGTGAAACCTCTGAATAGCGGACACTCTTGGTCACCAACATTTTGTCCGTTATTCGGAGGTGTCCGTTATTCAGAGGGGATACATTTTTGAAATTTATTTGTATAATAATGTACTATGTATGTAAATATACATATATGTAATGTTTTTACTTATTATTTATTGTAAGTTATTACATTTTTATATTTTTACGAATTACATATTATTATTTAAAGTATATTTTTACAATCAAAATCAAAAATTATTATTTAAAGTATATTTTTACAATCAAAATCAAAAATTATTATTTAAAGTATATTTTTACAATCAAAATCAAAAATTATTATTTAATATTTATCATTACATTTTTATATTTTTACAAATTACGTATTATTATTTATAGTATATTATTACAATTAAAATTAAAATTATACAAAATACATATTTTAACATATTTTTAAATTATTTTTGTTTGAAAAAATCGGTGAGCTTTGTCTTTTAAATTGTTGGATTATGCCCTGGTCCAAAGGTTGGCAGTGAGACGTCATATTTGGGGGAAAAAAGACTAGCTCGACATTTTTCAGTTTAAGATGGGGATGAGGAGCTGCATTGTCGACAAAAAGTAGTACTTTTCTTTGACTTTTAAAACGTAATACAGATAGGCATATTACAGATTATATTTTCAAATAATGATTAGGGATTTACCATTATTTTAAAAATTCCCTAATAAAATAATGTCCGTTATTCGGAGAGTCCGCTATTCGGAGGTTTTCCTATTGAAAAGTAGTGAAAATGTCCCCGTTCCCCAAAAAACGTCCGCTATTGGGAGGTGTCCGTTAGTGGAGGTTTCACTGTATATTTTATGATATTATTGTGATTTAAGTAATTTATTTTACAATTAGTACCTACCTACTACAATCGATAAAATTCATTTTAAAATTATATCTTATAAGAAAGTACCCATAGGTACCTAAATAAAAATTGGAATTCAGTTAAGTCTATCAAAATAATACTAATCATATACAAATACTTTCATTATTAAGCAACTGATTTCTTGTGTGAAGGTAGTTTTCTAGTTTTTATGGGTTTTGGTTGTAAATAAGATGGAAAGCCTTTAAAAATAGAAGGCACAGAATCAACTTTTAATAATGATGTTCAGAATCTTCTTTGGTAAAATGTTCACTATAAATTCTACTCCACTCTGTAGGCTTGAAGTTCTTTCTTATTAAAGCATTTACCCATTGTTTTAGTAAAATACTGTTCTTTAAGGGAAAACTGTAAATAAAACTTGTGTTAACAACACAATTTATAAAACACATACTCTTAATAAGCACAAAATCTTGATATTTTAAAAAGTTAATAAAATACTCTCTTGAAAAAACTTAATGATTGGTCCTTTTTATATCTATTAGAACAACCATAGGCCGAAGGCCGAACTAGAGACAACCATAATGATGGAAAAATTATGAATACACTTTAAATAATTCATTGTGTAATATTGAGCAGGAACAAATTCTTTAGTATTATAATATTAAATATAGAAGTCTGTGATATCTATTCTGTATATTATGTATAGTTGGCCATGATTCTCCATCAGCTGCAAGCTGCAGCTATCAGTGTATTTAATGGTATAAATAGAATTTGAACACAATAAATATTGTATTGGCGAATCGCGAATGACGATGACGATGGCAAATGACAGTTTATCCAAAACAATGAAAAAAATATAAATTTTTGAATTATTAACATGAAGAATATAATTAAAAATGTTGGTAAAAAAAAGCAAATCGTCCATCAGTGGTGTAGACTTTTTAAATTGTTGTCTCATTGTATTCGCATGGTCAAAAACAAATTAAATAATTTCTAAATAACATTGATTTTAAATTTAGTTATCGCATAGGGCGTCTGTTTTCGCAATTTGTAGGTTATAGTTCGTTTCTTAAAATTAATATTCGACCATAACCCAAAATTATCTATTTTTGAACATACTTTTTGTGGATAACTGCCGGACTGCCGTGTTTTCAGATTTTAGCGTGACTTTTACTCTTGTTTGTTGTTAATTTACCACTACAAATATACAGGTATTTGCCGAGTTAATTAGCCTAACATTCACAAATCGCAAATATTTTCTCAGATATTTGATCGGTACGAAGTGTGTTGTGATTGTTTGAATAGGTACTCAAGGTATTACCTGTGTGATTGTATTCGTATCTCGAATACTATATCCTGTTGGGGTTGTTTCTTTCAAGTAAGTATTTGTTTATTTATTATTACCTAACTCTGTGTTCAGTTACGAGATTTCCTGTAGTTTTTTTATTCAATATCCTGTTAATATTTATATTTTTGTTAAAGAAGCTATTATTTGCTAGGCTTCTAACTGTTTAATATTTTACAATGTGTCCCGTGAAAAAGTTAAAGATCGGCGTCATGATAGCATACCTTGAGTTGTGAAAAAAATCCCCTTAAACTGTGGTTCTAACTTTTTAAATTGTTTAATTATGGGCAATTCGACTTTTTTTTAAAATCAAAACTGAAAATACCTCAAATCTGCTGATGTGTTTTCAAAACTTTTTAACTTTCAATCACAATATTTTTGTTTTCAAAGCTATTTTATTGTGCTATGCTGATCAATTAATACACAATCAAACCAGAAATGTACAAATCATATTTATTAAATTGAAATGAGGAAAAAAGTTTGCAAAAATTAGCATCATCTAAGCTCATTGTCCATTATTGTCCAATGTCAATGGACAATAATTACAATCACGAAAGTCGTGTTATGATGAGCAACGGTATCACTCGGAAATTATGAAAGATATGAAAACAAAATTTTGTTCTAGGTATTCTGTAGAATTTTCAAAAATTCTAATTGTTGATTACTTTTTGGTTAAATTGTGTAAGGGTGCGGATAGAAAAATTATGGTTAAAAGTTAAAAAGTTTTGAAAATACATAAACAAATGTGTGGTAGGTTTTGTTCAAAAAAAAGTTGAATTGCCCGCTATTAAAAGTCATCCTTCAAAGAGGTATTTTCGGTAATCGTAATAAAATTCCACAGACTACAATATTACTCACTAACACATGCAAATTATTGACCAAATATTTTTTTAAACTCTAATTAATGTAATTACCAACATTATTAATATTTAATTACAAATATATACTTATAATGTACCTAGTAATATATCCTTAAAATGGAGAAAATGTCCAATTTCTATTGCTACCTAATGTTTGAACATTTAAAATATTACCTACGTTTCTTGTAATATTTTGATTATAATGTGAATAAAATATTTTTTAGGGAGCGTTTTTACAAGTTTTATTTTATATAGATGAATTATTTAAAATATTATAAAATAAAATAAATTATCAAACAATAGTTACCTACACACTACAGTACTATACCATACACTACAATAGGTAACATTTTAAGTTCTTAATTCTTATATCGTATATAATATATTAATACTTCCAAAATGTTATAGAAAATAGTCTATCGTAAGAAAAAAAATTATTTCAGTTATTTAATTTTACAGAATTATACATAATATCACAGTATTATAAAACACAATATTATTAGTATAAAGTATATATTTGTAATTAAATATTTAGTAAAAGGTATTTGATTAGTAATAACACCAATTAGCATCTAAAAACATATTTGTTTAATAATTTACATGTTTTTTTGAGCAAGGCCATAACTAGAAATTAATTTCGGAGGGAGGGGGGTTAAAAGCTAAAATGTATTCTAATTTTATTATGATCTTTGAATTCCGTCGTGGTTTTCAACCCACCAAGTATCATTGATGTCAGTTTAGTCCACTTAGTATTAGGTACAATGATTTTTATTTTAGTTCTTAATATATTAATATATAGTTATTTTACTACCACATAATGTGACACGAAAACATTTCAGGGGGGGGGGGGTGTTGACCCCCCCAAATACGGCCTTGTTCTTGAGTAATATTGAAGCCTAGGAATTTTTTTTTCTAGGGTTGGGGATTTTTTTCCAGGGTTGTTTGCCGGGGGTTTTTTTCCAAGGATTTATTTTTTGCAATCCGGTTTTTTCATAACTTAAGCCTTAAGGTATACTACTATATACTATCATATGTTGCTAGCCAGTCACTTCTTCAATGGAAATATTGTATAGCATTTGGGATGTCCCAACAATTCTAAAACTTTGTACCCAAGCACTATTAAATAGTACAATTTTACATTTTACTGTATGCATTGACGTATACATTATTAGCAATTGCTAATTCCAACCTATGCTTACTGTTCTTTTTTGCAAATATTTTTACAAATTTTATTTTTTACTTCACTTTACTCAAATTGTATTCTATGTTGATTACTTTTAAAAGTGTAAAAATATAAAATTAATTATCTAGTCATAAATTGTTGCTATCTAATTTTTAGGAGCCATTTTACATTTTTTCATTACTTCCCTACCTATATTAGAAGTTAATGCTATTTAG